GATACATTTGGCATTACAGGGTTAAAGATGTCCAATGTAGGTCTTTCTAGTTTTAGCCACTTTATTTTTTACAGTTTTTCTGTTTCTGCATTTTTTATTTTATTTATTTATTTTTTTATTTTTTCCTACTTGCGTTGATTCTGTTTTATCTTCCTATATTTTAATCATGTAAAGCACTTTGCATTGTCTTTGTACTGAATTGTGCTATACAAATAAATTTGCCTTGCCTTTCTAGAAGCCTCACTTAGTATCTGAAATAAGTATTATCTGGTTTTATCTGTTCAATCTAATTTTATTCATTTTACTCATTTTATTCTTTTAAACTGTCTTGTTTTTTTTTTTTATAATTTATTTTCTTGATATGAAGAGCGCTTCATGGCAACTTTGGTTGTTTTAAAGGGCTCTTTAAATAAAGATGAGTTGATCAAGCCGCTAATATCAACAACTGAACTATCTGGTCAGTTACTGTTTCATCATCTGCAGAGAGGAAATACTTTCCATTGACTTTATATTGTTGGGATGAATTAAATTAAAAATTACTCTCAAAGTGTTGCAGTGAAACCAGGTTTTCAAAACTGTATCTGCCCGTTTCTGTAGAGTTCAGAACCCAGACCCGAGCCATTACCCACAATTATCCCCATTTAAAACCCAGCTGAGATCGCAAGGACCCGCAAATAATAAAGTGCGACCCGACCCTTGATCACAATGTGTACACACAGCTGTTTATAATAACAGAGACAGTAAGAACGTCGCCTCCCGCTCACATCCAGAGCGCGCTGCGATCACAGATTAACAGCTGTAAAAAGGTTTGCCTTGTAGCTTAAATAATTACTGTTAAATGGATATTCTTGAACTAATCTATTTTTTTAAGATGAACAGTTAATTAATAAGAAAATATAAATAAGTTTCATGAGCCAGCGTACCTTTACAAAAATTAAATATGAAAATTATGATGCATAATAAAGAATAATTAAAACTCCAAAGCCAAATTGATTTATTTATTTAGAGAAGGGGTTCACAAACATTTCAGCCTGTGACCCCAAAAATAGTAGAGACAGACTGACGACCCCTACAAATAGATAATTTCACTATATAAATAAAGACGTAATTAGGATTCAGTTTTAAATAAATCTATTTTTTTTATAAATAATTTTAAAGCCATTTTGATTATTATTATTTAAGTCTTTCTCCTCTCAGCACAAAACCCAATTTTCACTAACAGGCATGTTCTGTTTCATGTTTTGGTGGAAAACGGTCTTCAGGTCTGTTTATATAAGACACCAAACTGTAGCGATGTAGAAACTCGGTACGCTCCACTATGATTCCCAATCTGAATGTTCACACAGTGCACCTGAGGAAACCTTCAGAATCCAAACCAATCATATGCCTTATTATGTCAGAGTGTAGAGGCTAAAAGAAGTAAAGGAACATTTCTGCGATGAAGCTCAGACAAACAATCGATAAGTAACAAAGCAGCAGAGCTAAAAAAGAAAAAAAAAAGAAAAACAATACTAGAATACACGATCTATGGAATAATTGGGCGAATATTTGGCCAGAAAATCAATAATGCTTAATGGGTTGGTTCTGACGCCCCTTCGATCCAGCTATGGAAATATTTGCTTTCTGTAGTTATTGTATTAGAAAGATGGAGATACTGTATGAATGGAAAATTTCATGCTTTTAAAAAAAGATTGGAACGTATTCTTGATTACCTCAAAATCTCAAAAATTAGGTTTCTCATATGATGCTGTAATTTATGTATATGCCTCCGATTTTTATTTTGTCTTGTTTTCTGTATCAGTGCTGTATAATTTTTGTCCTGTTATTGTTCTTTCTTTTTCAGTTTTTGTACAAATGTTCAAAAATACCTAATAAACATAATTTGTTAAAAAACAAACAAACTGGAAGCTGTGGATCGATAACCAGAAACTGTGAGTGAGTGTGGGTCTTACTTGGTGGCCTGTTTGGAAGACAGGAAGCCCTGCGTGCTCCTGATGGCTTCAGCCACCTGCTCCTTCCTGCCTGCCAGCTGCTCACTGATGGCCTTCAGAGGAAACACATTCAGCACCAACTCAGCAGCTGCTTTCAGATAAAACAAAAATAAAATAAAGCAGCGTCAGCTACCTGTTGAGCAGCAAGTGAAGACTCTGCGCTGGGACCCCTGGTCCGGCCCTGCAGGCCTTTGACCCAGCCCAGCAGCTCTGACACCTGGCCCACCCTGGCCTGCTTCTCCTCCTCTACCTCTTTCTGCACAGATGAAAGGAGGGAATGTTACCATGGAAGCCAAAAAAAAAAAACACTAGAAGGTTGGATCTGCAGAGTAAAACAAGGCTTCACCTCCTCTTCCTCCAGTCTTCTCAGTGCATCGCTGATGTACTTCACATGCTGGGTTGTCAAAGTGACTAAGGCTGTGTAACGCGTTCGCAGATCCATAAACTGGAAAGAAAACCGGCAAAATCAGCATCCGTTTAAGGTGACATGAAAAAGCAAAATCCAGATTAAAAATGAGTTTTTTTATTACCTCCTGAGTGATGGC